TGGGTGCAATTTGGCTGCTACAATATAAGAAAGACATGAAACTGTTCCAAAGTGTCCAAAAGTGGGCTACAAAGATACTGAAAGTTCTAGAGAGGAAGATACAACAGGAGCAGCTGAGGTCCCTGAGTTTGCTCAGTCCAGAGCAGATGAGCTGAGGAGAGGCCTCATGGCAGCTGCAGCTCCTCACATGAGGCAGAGGGCAGTGCTGAGCAACAGGGCCCGAGAGAATGGCATGGAGCTGCATCAGGGAGGGGCAGCTGGGGTCCATGCCCAGGACAGTGGTCACAGCCCCAAGCCACTGAGTTCAAGAAGCACTGGGACACAGGGTTTGGATTTTCAGTAATGCTGTGGAGCCAGAAGTTGGACTCTGATTCTTGTGCGTCCTCTTCTAACTAGCTATATTTTATCATTCTGTAAATACCTCATGTACCTATGCACACTCCATATTCCGTAACAGTTTATCCTGAATACAACTTAAAATGACATCAAAAACACAACATAGCATAGAATGATAATTAAATTTGGAAAATGTAGTGACCACTTTAACATCCCAAATCTCACAAGCTGCATTCATAGCAACACAGGTGATACATGGTGACAGGCTCTACTGAACACAGCAGTGCATTCACCTAAAATGACAACATAGCAAACGTCCTGGAGCTACTGGTTGATGCTTTTCCTCCATCCATTTACACATCTCTTTTTATCCATTTTACTAGCTGCTCCCTGTTTTACTTAAAAATTTGCTATTTTGAATGATTCTCAGCTGAGGTCTTAATATCTAGACCTACAAGGGATGAAACAAGATTTATTTATTATTTGAAATTTATCACAATGATAATGCCTACAGGTCTGCAATTATACTTTTTTTTTTTTTTTTTCATCATGTCCTTATACTTACTCAAGGTGTACATACTCAACCAATTTTAAGGCTCATGAAAAAAAAAAGCTAAAATTTACATTTATTGTGGCTTAAATGGTTTTAAACTCTGTTGTTTTGAATGACAAGCATAGTAAGAACGTGACTAAATTGAGCAATGTAGTCTGTAAATTATAAGCTTTGGTCATGTGCCATTTATTGGCTGAGTGTTCCAAAGATTATACTGCAAATGTTCATTTGCTCACCGTGAAGCTTTCTCATAAATGAAGAACTTCAATAGAAGCTACACTATGCAAGTTTGACTTACAGGGATTCTGCTGCCTTCTGCAAACTGGCAAATGACCATTCTAAAAAGCCTGCAGTCAACTGTGAAAATATTTACTTAACAGTTTTCTACCTCAAACAACAGGCTTCCATTGTTTTTCATCACATCTGCTGTTTCCCTTGGGAACAAATAATATTTGAGACACGAAGACCTTAGTACCTTACTCCTGAGAGTACTAACTCCCAATTGTTAACAACTAAATCTTACAAATGCTCGAAAAAATATACTTTAAGAATAAACATTTATATTTGTTTTAATTGAATACATTATTTTATTGCAAAATTTCAGTAACTTTGTTTGTTGAGGTAGACTTTGATTACATTTGAATACGCAGTCACATGGTTTTATGTATGGGATAGCTCTGCATTTGAAGATTAAAGTTTTGTACTTCGATCTGCCATCAACCTCCTGCAGACTTTGAGTTAATTATTTTCACACACAAACTTTATTTGCTCTTTCACAAATTAAGTCCTAACTTTTTGAAGTAATATATTCTGCAAGCACACAACTTTGCTCTTGCTGCATTAAAGGGTCTTCTGCCATAGCCAAGTGATGTCCTTTTCTTGGCTGTACAGACCCATAGGCTTTTTCAAAGCAATGCGTGCTGTGTACTGAATACAGCACCAGGCTCCTTGCAGTACAGAAATGAGATTAAGAATCAGTTGGTTGAATTCTTGTCTTTTTCAATCTTGTGTCTTGTTTTGACCAATACGATGAGGGAAAAGAAGGACAACAAGGAAATGCAGTATTGTACTGCCAGACTTCCTATGTTTGATATTCACAGAAGAAAAAGAACAACAAAACAACAAGCAAAGTGGTCGGCAGTTCTCAAATCTGTAAAGTCAACAAAACTTGAAGCATGTGAATTTACCTGCCTATCTATCACAATGCAGTGTTTAGGTCATCATGTGCTGTGGATTTGATGAGGCCCTCCATCTGATCAGTTATTAACAGGAAATGAAGTAAGTCACAGTAGACAGAACTTACATTTTTTCAGTTTTACTTGGACAAAGGTATAATTCAGGGTTCTCAGCTGCTAATATAGTATCAACACTCAGAAAAAACAAGCAGTGTGATGTACAGAAACAGCAAAATTTTAAAGCAGCTCAGAAATGACAGATCTCTAGGACCAAAAAGTTATTTTTATGACAGGCAGGACACAGATATAAAACACTTTGATTTTTAAACGCATCTATATTCTGTTGCTGCTAGGGAATGGCTTTGAGAGTAAAGGAAAGCTATGCAAACTAATATGAAAATAATGTGAACTGTGATGGCTTCACTGACTTGTGCATCTTGATTTCTCTGAATTCAGAACTGTTTGCGCTGCTGAACCTCTACTCAAGCAGGGTTTCACCTCATATGTATTATCTTCCTCTTTCCTCTTATACTGGCATAGGGCTCCTAGGACAAAAAGGTACACACTTTGAAAGAGTGGTGCAAAGTGGTTCACCTTCTTTTCTCATTTAAACAGTAACGCTTTCTCATGTGCACAGCCAAAGATGAAGAACATCTCCCCCTGCCAAATTTCTTGTGTCAAAACTGAGACTGCTGGGCACATGTTTTTTGAACAACAAGTGGATCGAATAAATATTGATAGTACTACAGCATCTTTTTGTGTCCTGAAAAGTTGAAGAGTACCTTACAATCAGATAAGGGAAATGGTCCTGTAAATGTGTTGTAAAAGAAACTAATTACTCTTGAGAATTTTACTATGAATTTCCATTCAAGTTCTACTTCTTTGAAAACCTGTTAATCAGAGTACACATGTATTATAAAGGAAAGCAAACTGAGTTTTATGATGCGTAAGTACAGAAGAGAAACGCAAATACGTGACATTAACTTTTTATTGATTTTTCTGTAAACCAGAGTCTATGGAAAAATAGGTAAAAGCATTTTATTAATATTTTATAATAGCCCTGTTCAGAGAGACAGCACAAAAAAACCCTGACAAACAACTACAAAGAGAATACCAGGAAAATATCGCATTTGGGAGACAAACTACGTTCACTGTAAGACACTGCCAGCGAGGCATGAAAAGCAATACATAATAAAGATGACCATTCAGTTCTGTGTGTCACTTGTTACACAGGCAGCAATCTAATTCAAGCAGTATCATATAATGATACAATATCAGTACTGCAACTTTACTTATTTGTAGAAAATACTACCAAATGAACATCCATGAAATCCAAACCTTGTGAAATGTACTATCTGAAAGGAACTATGCATGTGCAGCTACGACCACTGCATAAATTCACTGTTACAGCTGAAACTATCACACTTAATTCTCAATCTAATCTTTATGCAACTGATATATCTAACTTTAATTTTATAACATTCAGAGGAAAACCATTTCCTAACTATAGTCACACCTGTGAAATCTATATTCACTTGGGAATTTTTTGCCTTAGATTAACCGGTAATCTCCCTTAGTGCTAGTTGGGCAGCATGTATAGCTGATTGTATATAGATACACAATACCTCATTGCCAATTAATGCCAAATAAAAATACATTTGTATTTTCTTTCTCATGTTGGCACATCACATTATGCACAATGCTGGAACAAAATGTTAAAAGTGGCACCAATTCACAACAACTGTTACCACAAGCTACATACACAAACAACTTGCACAACTGAATTTCAAAATAATTAATCTCTAAATAATTCAAGACCATGAGGACTTAATTAACTTGTCCATAGTTGCTACAGTAAATGGAATTGTAATATAAAATTAAAGACAAATATGGGATCTGGAATAGAATTGCATTTTAAACAACATTAAGAAATACCTCACGTCCATAAAAAACAAACATCCTGTTGCTAAATACATAGAGGTTTCTATTTTCTAGCATAATATGTAAAGCTTTGCATCATATATTAAAGCAATATTTTGTTTTTATTTAACTGTAATTAAGAGAAGTGAAAGGTTGTTTTCACATTTGGCAGGGCATCCCTACAAGCAGTAAAGGATTCGTATAATAAGGATTCATATAATGTTACAGAGAAAATATTTTTATAGCAGCCTGTTCCTCAAAATACATGTATATTCTCCTAAATAACTGAAGAATCTAAGTGATTTTATTAGAGTACATTTAGGCAACTGAAACCAAACTTCTAGCCTCGGGTGTCTTTCCAGTAACTCCTTACTCAAGTCCTCCCACAGAAACCAATGTAATTAATCACATGAATAGTTTCCTGATGTGACTGAACATATACATATGTAATAAGTGCATGAGTGTCATTTTCTTTTCAGACTTAGTATCTTATTAATTGGTCCTTACAATAAAGAACACTACATAAGATTAAATAACAAGTCATCTTATTCCAATTAGAAATAAATACATGGCCTAACTGGAAACTGTTATGTCACATTATAACACAAATACTTAACAAAAATCTCTTCACATTTTGTCTAAAAATATCATCTATTTATTAATACTTCAGTATTTCAACCTTTCAAGTAAAATTAAACCACATTTTTGATTTTCAACACACGTACTTTGAAGAAAGGAAGAACACATTACTATTCCCTCCAGACACTTCTGTCATTTCAAAATTTAAGAGTTTTAACATTCCTGAAGAAGTCTAATGATGAAATAACTCTGCATAGGATAGAGGGCAAATACATTTCTGTATACACTGTGAGTGGCTGCATGATATATTACAACATATATTGATTTTGATGTAATGTTCAACTAGTACAGTATCTTACTTCTGCATCATTATCATTACTGAATCAGACAAGAATTAGATATGATAGATATATCATATCTAATATGAATAGATATGAATGATAATTATATATCCTGCAGAAATGTATAATTACTATAAATATGCTGCTGTTATTTTTAATTTGGAAACTCTCAACAATAATGGTTTCTAAATTTGTTCAAAGGTAGGAAATTCTACTTTCAGTTACACTGTTCAATCTTAGTGACTTTAATTAGGTTTCATGCACAGAACTGGGACAGAACATAGCACAGTAGTTATATCATTAAAATACAAAAAGTCTTGGAGAATTTTAGTATCAAATCATATGCTGTTTTCTCTAGCATGAAATTAATAAGAAAGAGTTGAAATAGCTCTACATAAGCAATGCCATGGGTTTGTGAAGATTAACTGCCTTTCAGACAACTCACAAGCAAATATTCTGCAAACACCTGCACGTGTGAGTAATTAGAACCAAAAGAATAGTTGTGTCAGTTGAACTTTTTGTGCTAATTCTGTAATTAAATTTATTCAAAGCAATGGAGCAAAACTGCCTAAGCTTTATTCAGTTTGTCTGTAATAATGGAATAAAAAAAAACACCGGCTAGGAAATTCAGTTACAGGTTACTCTGCAAGCCTTCCAAAAATATACAGCTTTCTGTAACTGAAATGCATTTACACCCAGGCAAAGTAAGTTAGCAGTTGTAAATGACATTTGTTCTCTATTTTTATGAGAAAATGGGATTCCTATTAGCTTAGGCTCCTGTCTATATGCAGTAATTACAGTTTTTTTGCTTAATATCTGGTTTGATAAAACAGTATTGGGCTCACATATCACATCTGTCACTGAAATAGCTGCATACAGGAAATGGAACAGTAACATTATTACCTTGGTGGACACGCTTGGAATTAAAATGATCCAGCCGTCTCTTGATTTGCAACAAACCCTGAACATACACAGACTTGATGTTTGGAGAATACAGGTACTACAATCAAAATAAAACTGTAGTATATTTTTGAGTTTGAAATGAAATTAAGAACAACTAACAACACTTCAGATTTAGGCTGGTGTAACTGGGAGTAGAATTTGATCCTAGATTCTGTTTCTGTGGAGCTGCTGGTTTCATTGTAGAAGTACTGAGATTCAAAGGATTGATGATATTTAAGGATAAATTCAACTTCTTTCTGACAGGTATCATATTGATGACAAATGATTGCAAAGAAATAGTAAGTGAAGACTCAGCTAAGAAACTTAGAGATCCAGTGCAAAAATAGTTAAGAAAAATATAATTTCATATATCCAAGGAAAATTTGGATCAATTCTCATTTGTTAAAATAAAGGTTTTGCTAATTAAGAGTAGACTGAAGGTACATAAATTGGGTTTAGCTATTTTGTTAGAGTAATACCTGACAAAGTAATAGTAATAAATCATTTTGAATGTTTTTCTGAATCCCACAGAAAACACAAACGTCAAGTCTTAGAGGAAAAGTTTCATTTTTAAGTTTGAGAATAATCATTTTGTTTCTCAAAAGTTCAGGCATATCCCAGAAACATTTGTTCTAAAAGTAAGATTATATATAAAAATAGAAGATTGTATTTACACAAGATGATACTAAGATAGATTGTGGGACATTCATATATAACTGAAACTCCAATGTAAAAAACATACAGAACATGAGTAATGTGGTGCTTCCTTGTTGTACTAACATACAGGAAGTTTCACAGAGAAAGTGGATTTTTATTGTTGCAGATTTATCAATATTTTTGTTTTAAAATATTTTCTGGTATTTTAAAATAATTACTCCATCAAGAAGTAGTTGCTTGCATACATATCTGCAAGTCCTCCTACTCGTGCATAATAACGCTTTGGTGACTCATTATATGACATACAGAAAGAAAGAGATGCTAAGGTTTAAAATTTCATGCCATTCTCTTTAAAAAAGTCCCATAAGGTACAATACTGTCTGCTTACAAGATGCATAATTAGGCCACATCTGAAACTGGTTTTGCATATTTAAATCATGGAATATTTGAAAACCACAAAAATAAATTCACTGTACATGTGCAACACATTACAAATTAATTTCAGTTGCTTCAAAATCTGAATGCTTCCTAAATTATTAACTCTATTAGTCAATATTCTGAACTCAGTAACCCAGAAGTGTGGTTTAAATGACAGATGTGGTAAAGTACGGTATTAAGACATAGCACTCTGACACACTAAGTCAAAGAAATATCTCACAAGCATTGTTATAACAAAATACTGTTGTGATACAACTGTGCAAAGGAGCATTAAAATAAATTGATTTCATGATTATCTGCCTTCTGTAAATCAAAACAAAGTATTTTTGTAGATATCCAAAATAGCAATTTCCTAGTTATCAATTTCTCATAAATCCACTGAGGGCTTGTATGTATGCCAAGCAAGTCCACACTGACTTTACACATACATTACATAAACTCCTGAAAATACAAGACAAAAAAAAAAAAAACACAAAGAAAAACCCAAACATCTTCAGTAGTACTAACAAAATTTGTAGTCCACCATCACATCACAGTTATTCTTTCTGGAGAGAAATGTGGAATGGACCCACTTGTTTCTTCTATTGCATGGCTTTTCTCCCATCCTCTTCTAATCCTCCTTAGTTTCCTACTTACACATGGCAGAAGTAAAATGATCTTACCTAGAACTACAATGGAAGGCAGAACAAGGGCAAGAACAAAATTTGGCGGTGTGTAAAATCTGTAATATTCTTCTTCAAAAGCTCTTTTCCATCCATAAATCAGTACGTGGAAAGTACTTATGAGCAGAGCAACGTATCCAAGTGTAGACTTGAAAAAAAGAGAAACCAGGGAAAAAAGATGAGAAAATAGTACTTGGTCCTTCATCAGATTAAGTCTAACCCATTGTTTTAATATTTCTTTCAGACACTGCATTAAAATGTCATACCTACGTATTAGTTTGAAGTACCATTATGTGGTTTTAAGTTCACATTCTGAAAACTACAGACAGAATTGAACACTGATTTAAAGCACTAGTATCTATAGGCTAGGGCCTATGTAAGCAAACCACAAGACACGAACTTAAGTAACAATCTCAGCAAAGTTACTGGAACAACATCAGTTGGCTTTACAATTAATTTCTGAATATGTTTTCCCAGCTATAAAGGTAGATTGTATGAAGAGTCATACTTATTATGGAATCAGAGCCATTTTGCTGGAACAGATCTGAGTTTATCAACTGAAATTTTTATTGCTTCAAGAGGTGTAATTTGCTTCTTCCTAATGACGACCTTCATTGCAACAACCTACATGCACTTATTTGAAGTTAACATAAATTCCTTACCCTCCCTTACAGCTTATTGGAATATCGACACTACAGGATTTGTGTAGAACGGCACACAGTAACAACGCAGTTCATGAACAAGCAGTGCTGGATTTAATGTTAAAAAGAAGGTTCCCACAATACCCCGCAAAGGACTTCATCATGTAATCTACAGCAAGCTGCAGAAGGTACCATATCCACATGCGGACTTGATCCCACGAGGTCCTCTCCAACTTGGGATATCCTGTGGTTTTCTGATTTGATGTCCTTTTTAGTGACAGGTATTAGTACTGCTCTGCAGGCTTGAGTTAAAGGTCTTAAGTTTGTCTTTCCCAAAACACTGCTAAAGGACTACTACGCTTTGACTTCTGGGGATGGGCAAATAATGAAAAACTTTTTTCTTCTAAACTGTTGTAATGTGGTTGAGAAACATTTGTAGAAAGTCGCTAAAACAAAGAATGTGTATTAACTGGATAGTGGGCTTTGTTTTAACTTCAGTAAAGAAAGAAGCAAAGACAATCTTTCTGTCCTAAGAAAAAAGTAGCCTAAGGGTCTGTAATAGTGAAAGAATCATTGAATCATAAAAATTTAGAATGGCTTGGAACAGAAGGGATCTTTAAATCATCCAGTCCCAACCCCCTGCTACAGGCAGTAACACCTCCCTCTAGATCAGGTTGCTTAAAGTCCCATCCAGCCTGGCCTTGAATGCTTCCAGGGCAAGGGCACTCACTTCCTGAGCAGCCTGTTCCAGCGTCTCACCACCCTCACAGTAAATTGTTGCTTCTGAATATGTACTCCAAATCTACCCTCTTCCAGCTTAAAACCATTTCCCCGTGCCCTGTTACTGCGTACCCTTATGGAAAGTCCCTCTCCAGCTTTCCTATAGCAGGAAGTTTTCTGCGTCAAGATTAATCAGTTTCTAGGGACAGAGGAAGGTGTGAAGTAATTAATAACATTTATCAGGATTAACTCCTATAAAAAGGAAAATACTGCAGATCAATACCACGGTTTAACTTGCCAATATGTATATATCTGTATCTAATGGTCAAAAGAGAAGCTAGTAAATAACAGTAAAATGTTAAAAACAGTACAAGAAAAGCGTTATGCATCTCTATTCAGATATTTTTTTTTTTACCTGCGGAAAGTTGCTATATGCTTCTTTGGTGTTGCTAGGGCATACACTAGTAGTATATATTGGTCCATTAGAATCACTTATCTAATAATCTGATTCTAAAGATAATTCTAGAGGTGTTTGTCAACTACTGACAATGTTTTCTTCCATTAAGCTTTTAATTGCCTCTGTCACTGTGTTTCAGTACTTAACTAGAAAGAAGATGTTCCTTATACAACCTAGCATTTTGCAGGCTTTTTTCTTTGTACGACAGGTCTGTCACACCTAAAGTTCCATCAAAAGCACTTATCCTAGTTTGCAGTTATTAACTTTTCCAGATGTACAGGTGTACAATTAAGAAATGTACAGTTAGAAGAGTTGTGTGGTTAGGATGGTATTTTACAGGTCTATAGTTAGAAAAATTATTGTGGTGGAAAGAGACAATCAAAAACGAAATGCTCACCCACGTCATAGGCTTGCAGTAAAAAACTCCAAATAGAAGGATCTCCAGAAAAAGATCCTTCCCCAGTGGCAGTCAGCCCTAAATGGAGTCTAGGAAAGGTGCAGCCAGGCTCCACCCCTTCTGGTCACACAAGGGAACTGCCTTCACCTGTGCTCCCATGGCTGACTCAGTGCTTTCCTCAGGTGATCAGTCAGTGGTTCAGACCACAACTCAACAGTTCCCATACAACAGGCAAAAACAGCTGCCTTTGCAAATTGAGTAAAAGCTCACTATAAGGGGTTGATCTTGGCTGGGAGGCACAGGATGCTAACATCTTTAAGAGTAGAAGACATTTGAAAGCAGCAAAAAGAGATACTTTTCCTTGACTGGAATCACACTGGTGAGTAGTAGAAATACCAGTTGAAAATGCTGGAAATGTTCTTCCCAGGCTCTAGTATGGTTGCTGGGAATAGTTTTAGGAATGGTCCCTAAGGAATTTTTGGAGCTGCTGTCACTCGTGTTGTGAAATCAGGTGAGATAAGATGGAAGCATCTCTAAAATAATTCGGGATATCAAAAACAACCATGATTTCTGGGCAACAACATTCACTACTGGAGATTCTCTATGGTATTAGAAACACTGCAATAGAGGTCTGTACCACTGTACATAGGATGATGCTATTCGGAGCTTGTTCTACTGCGGTAGGGTTAGAAAACTAACTGGGCTTGTGTATGTAAATAACTTGCTAATTCTAAACTCAGATTCTGCCAGCAGACATTAGAACTGAGTGCATTTTAGTGGTAATGCTCCCTAGAGGAAGTCATGCTCTTATTTTGATCAAACTGTACCTTCTGAGATGAGCAATCAATAATGTGTTGCTCTTTGAGAAATGCTGAGGTGAGAAACTGACTGGGTGTGCCGACTGCCTGTCTGACTCTTCATCCATGAGATACGAAACAGAGATTGAATAAGTATTTTGGCACATTACCTCAGGAATCGGGACTAAAGGCAAAGACATGCTGATTTCCCCAGCTAAAAGGAGAGCAATGCTGAGATGACAGGCTGTAGTTTCGATGCTCATTCCACTAACTTAGGGAAATACAAACTCGCAAACAACTTTCACTTTAGTGGGGGGATCACTGAAAGCCTTTTTTCTGATTGAATAAATTAAATGACTTTTTCAAAGGAATAGTGACTACCTGAAGACTAACTTACATCCTGAGATTACTGAAAAATTGAAGTACCACATAATGATCACGAACTTTAAAGAAATTTTAGTATTTCAATTTCTTATGTGCAATTAAAAATGGCAAATGATCATAGTTATCTATACTAATTCTCTTTAGCATGCAATACAGAACCAACTATAACAACCCTCCAGAGAGAACAACTTGTTCCCAATTTGTGAAAACACCAAGAGATAACTCGCAAAAGTTCATAATTAAAAATTGAATTATTTTGCCTTTAATTACAGTGCAAATAACTACAGAAAATACAATACAAACAAAAACACCTTTGTAGGCATGTGAATATGTATGTGTTGTCTGGATTTTGAGTAAATCACACAAGCCTGAGATCTGGAAATCTGTGAAAGAAAAAATTAGATACAAATTCTGGGTGTGTGGCTGAAAGTCATGACCTTGCGACCAAATATGCAGTACTGTTATCTGCAGACAGAGAACTCTGGATGGCAGGAATGTTTGAACAGTACAAAATGAGCATTTACTTCTTGTGAAGGCTCAAAATGGTGAGCAAGAATGAACAGGTCAGTTTGGGGAATGATACTTAGACAAATCTTTCAGCAAAATTTTTGTGCTTTGCTACATACATAAGATATCTTACAATTACAGCCAAAAAAGCATTCCTCAGCACTCCATTTAAGATGTTTGTAAATTATGAAATGCGACTCAATACCCAAACAGCAAAGCAGATGCAGTGTAGGTAGGAATTAGTCAACAATCTCATTGCAGTCGTGTACAAACAATGAATATATGGGTGTGCAGTCTGTGCTACTTTATCTAATTAGAACTTAGAAATAAATCCTAACAGTGGAAAAGGAATTTACAGATTTACCCTCATTTGGTCTTGTCTGTGTTGATCCTTCAATGCCAACATCAATAAAAGGCAAATTCCTATTTTGATGCCTATAAAATGCTGAATTTGCCTACATGCTGATCTATTTGCTGAGTAAAGATATGTTGCTCTTATTAACTTACGAGATAGAAAAAACAACATACTCTGATCACGTTGCGAAGTGCTTTTTGTAACATAATAATTATCATTAGAAAGAAATTCATGTTAACAACAAAAATCTATTATTTTGATAATAACACACCTGAATAAAACTGAACTCCCTCCAGTTTAAGGCATTGTTGACTGAAGGGATAGAAGTTACTGCCAGCAAAGAAAGCAACCCAAGACTCATTATTCCAAAGGAGAGATACATTTCAATTCGCCACACTTCTTCTTCATTCCAAGAATTTTCAACATTTGCATGAACCTGATGAAGGAGCAGAAAGGAAGCACTTCATTCTCCAGAATATTAAAAGCATCAACAGAAATTATTTTGCTGAGTAAATGCCTACAGTAATAGAACAAATATAAAACGGGGTCAAATATTTCATTGGAGAAAAAACAACTTCCTTACTGTTGGTATTGGCTCTTGATACATTAAAAATATGTTATGCAGGAAAACTAGATGAGTTGGTAAAAGAAAACATAACATTACAATAATTATCTTATAAATACAAGCAGTTCTACATTTCTCTTTACTGTATAAGCATACCCTATACTGCAGAAAAGTAATTATATTCCTCAGACCTTGGAAACATATCTTCTATAGCACAAAATGGATGAATCCATAGTGTTTTAGTTCTTTACACTTGGAAACAATTTAGCACCATTTTCTCTTAGTGCTTTAGCTCCGTATACAAAAGCCAAAGTGTTTTGCCACTTTCACTGTTGATATTAAATGCATTTGAGAATGTTCTGGTTGGAGAACTTTACCAGAAATAAGAAACAGCTCAGGTCCTTAAAAGTTAAGCTGCCTAGATATTCAATTATTTCTTCCATTTTAAGATAACCATAGTGATTTGATGTGTCTTAGAAGAGGTCCACTATGAACGTTAGCAAGTGAGATTTTTACAGAACTATTAGAAATGAGACAAGCTATTAGTAAAAATATCATAGATCCTTTACTACATAGGAACAATTACAATTCCTTGCTGTTTTTCATAGTTTTATTCTTTCTCCCTTTCTCTGAAGCTCAATTTCTCACTTCTTTTAGAATCTGTGGACCCAATCTGCTTTTGTTCTGTTACTAGGATTTGATTTCTTTAATTTTTCTTTCTGTTCAATTTCATCTGTTTTTCCAGCAGATTTTATATGCTGAATGGCAACACTGTTCTCCTGCCACTTTAAAGGTGGCAATAAGCTGACAGACAAAGCAGCAGCTCTTCTAAAGGATTATGGGTTTGTCAGAGATTGTTTCAAGGTTATATGCAAGACCAGCTATCGTTCCTGGGAACTGTGAGTCAATCTCTTGCCTGTAATAGGTGACATTCACAGAATTTCTACTGTCCATAATATTTTTACCACAGGTCCAAAAAGTTACAAAGTATCAGAACTTTCACTGCAAAAATACATTGTATTTATGAATATTATCATAATAATACCTACTCTAAGTACTTTCCCACATTTGTAAATGCACTTGCCACATACATACATCTCCTGTATCTCAAAAACACACAAAGAGAAACTTACCTCAGAAGTTTCCTTTGGTGTTGCTCTTATCCTGTCTAACCTACATCCTCATTGCACATATTGCTGCCAAAGATTTAAGTAGAATATATCCTTGATTCAACTTACTATACAAACGTGAACACAACCTGACATAAGGTACACAGGTGTTTCTTTTACTCTCCCTTCTTACCAAGCATTACCTATGCATAAAATAATCCTAAAGATTTTTGACTGAAAACAATGGAAAAGATGCACAAAACATGCATTTTGTATTAATGTATCACATATACAACCAAGGCACTTTTGGCTTACTTAGCTAAGGATCAGCATACCTGTTGATACGCCATATTGAGGAACAAGTATCTCTCTGATCTCCTCATAGGTAAGCAAAGGCTGTATGCCACATGCACCACTGCAAAGAAAAAGCTGAGCAGTCCAAGCTGCTTTCGACACTGCAGCCAGTTGTCCAGCCAAGGTGGAAATCGCCTGTACTTAGTGCCGTAGTAAAGCTGGTAAGAGGCTGCAATAAGTCCTGACAAATACACTAGAGAGAGCAACGTGATGGCAACAACTGGTAGAGTCTTATTGACAATCTCAATGGGGATCTTGTAAAAGTCACTCTGTTGACTTCTCACATACGGATGGATTACGTCTCTGATGAAGGAATAAATGAAGAAAAATGTTGCCAGACTAATGGCAATCACTACAGGCCCCTTCCACAGTGTGAAGAGTCGCAGAGGTAAGTTTTCAATCTCTCTTGAAGATGACAATGCCCCCAAATCAATAGGAATAAAACCGAGCTGACGAGCGAGCTCAGTAACTTGATGGCGAGCCTGAACATTGTTACTGCATATAAAGACCTGTTGGAAAAGTCAGGTGAATTGTAGATGCAGGAAGACTTACAGGTTAAAAACAAACTCAACAAAACAGAAACAAAAAACCCAAATACAAAACAAAACAAAAAAAACCTCAACTATTAAACAGCAACAACCCCTTCACCCCCTGCCCCAACTGAAGAGCCTCCGGTGCTCCAGTGCAAAACTGCAGCACTACTGCTAACTTACATCACTTTGACAAATTTATCACCGTTAGAAGAAATATTGAATAAAAACAACACTATGCACAAATCCACCAAAGGTAAAAATATGCACGCTTATTTAGCCACAGAGCAACCAAAATAAAATTGGCATTTGCTTGAAGTTGACACTGAGGTGACTGTGGCACGTACAGGCAATCCACACACTGAAATGTCTCATACTCCCCATACTGAAATGCCCATAGGAATGGACTGAACCTGAAACAATGGCTACAGTAACTTCCAAACCTTGAGTTTCTCAAATGTACACTTATCTTAAATGATGACCCCAAAATAGCTGCAGGACAAACACAATGCAAAGCAGAGAACTGTGTAATCTCTATGTAAGAATGTTTCCAATCATCTGTATTACAGAAAACATGATGAGGTTTGACAGAAGTCAATGACTTACAGTGGCCTGCTGCTCCAAAAAGGAACAAAAATAGTGCAATGAGATTATTTATAAAATTATGCTAATTCAGTATTTATTGCATACTACTTAAAATTTGCTTGAAGTGCCAGAGAACTCAGTAGTCTCCAGCAGTCATGTTACACTCACCACTTGTCATGTAACCCTTGTAGCCCACAAAGCTGCGAAGGACTGGGCTCATGCACGTCTTTATATTGCTTCAGCAAAGCAAGAAAAACATACAGCTGTACCTTCTGTATGCAGGATGGGTTTGGGGAATACACTGGGAAGTAAATTGAACATGATGTTCCCAAGCAATTCTGGATCAAATGAATGATTACTTTGAAACATATGTGCCTCCATCTGTTTCCTCATATTTATGATCTTGGGATATTCCAGAAGCCAAATAATGGGTTATATTCTCTCTGTGGTTACACTGAATGCAAGCAATTGTAGAAGAGCTGACATTTCTGACTCCCAAGCCTTGGGGTCGGGACCTCAGATTTCTGTGCATCTCTTTCAACAGTTCACCCCACAAAAAACAACATTTAAACTAAAATAAACTGGGAAAAACTGTCTTCATCTTTTGAAGCACTAAAATATAAATCAACATATTTCCTACAGAAAACTTTAGGATCCTACTCTTCTTATTGTAGTCAATGAAATGTCAGCTAGTTGATCTAAGCCAGTACCTACATTCCTCTGCAATCCTTAAAGACACACAGGCACCCTAGAGCACAGTTTGGATCATTTATTCTGTACTATTGTCTTTTCATCTTACAAACAAGTCAAATAAAAACAAACACAATGTTTACCTGTCTGCTGGCATCCTTTGGTCCTAACTGGAGTGACCAAGCTGAAACAACATTGAATCCTTTGACAATTAGAGAATCTGGGAAAAGCGATGCCAAATACTCTGCATTGGAGTCTGGATATTGGTCTACTCTTGTATTGTTGCTGACATCAACCAGAATTTTACCAACAAGTAAATGCTTGAGGTCCCACAAAGACGTGTAGTGTTCTCTATGAATAGCTACAAAAATGAGGTTTGTTTTTGTTACTGCATCTTCATGGTGAGTGACATCAACCACGTGGGGAAAGAACTCTGCAGCAAGTTTAGGGTTTCTGCTTCCTACAACAACATGGTACCCACATCTGATCAGCCGAATGGTCAATGATTTTGCGAAGTCTCCACTTCCAATGATGCCTACTGTGATCTTACTGGCATCCTTGATGCCATTGGCCACATTTGGTAGAAAAGTTTCATTGAGGTTCTTAGGGCTTCCCATCATAGAGATTGATTCCATAATTCTAAGACACCAAACTTACGATGACTTTTTCTGGAAAAAAAGCAGAGAAAGCAAGAGAAGGAAAAAAAGCTGCATCAGACCCTTTCACAAGCCATCACAATCCACAAACAACTCTGAAGCAAATTCTGTGGTTCTAATTTTCAGATTTTATCTTTTCTTTCATGAAGCGTGCAGAAAAACAAACTTTTTTTCTGGCACTGTGTCACTAATCCAAGGAGGAACACAAAAACTTCAAATGTTTTAATAACAGTTACAGAAGTAGGTAAAAACAAATAAAAAAAAGTATATGCAAGGAAGTACACACATTTTTTAAATCATTCAAGTTAAAATCAGCCATAGAGATGCACAACTGCTTTCCCAGGTTAAAGAATACATAATGCAGAAGGATTTAGTGACTCCAAACATTTGTACGGAGACAGTGAAGTCAGAGATTAATGAACAAAGACAAAAATGAGGGCAACAAGTTAGATTTCTTCATTATAGAGTGCAATCTATTAAACAGCGTATAACTCTTGGCTTCCATTCCAAAACCCACATTTATTACACACATGTACCACACTCTGTCCAAAGACAAAAATCTGATTTAGAGGGACTTTAGTGTGGGAATCCTGATCTTAGATATACTGCACCTTAGTTCTGCTGTCTATAAATCTAAGATGATAATTCATTTAGTTTTGAAAGGGGATTGTGATGAGAGGTACACATTCTGGTCATTTGCATTACAGCAAACATGATCAGTTTTGACAGAAGTCAATTACTTACAGTGCAGATCTATTCTGAAAGAGGATAAAAATACTGCAGGATGTTCATGTACAGTTTTAAAAAACGACTGCAACGAGAGCTACACATTTAAAAAGCCCAAACTGCATATAACACATGCTATTCTTGTGGTAAATGACCGTTTATATGGATGGACAGTGATAGGAAATGGTTTTAAACTGAGACAGGGAGGTTTAGGTTAGATCTTAGGAGGAAGTTTTTCATCCAGAGGGTGGTGATGCACTGGAACAGGTTGCCCAAGGAGGTTGTGGATGCCCCATCCCTGGAGGCATTCAAGGCCAGGCTGGATGTGGCTCTGGGCAGCCTGGTCTGATGGTTGGCGATCCTGCACATAGCAGGGGGCTTGGAACTGGGTAATCATTGTGGTCCTTTTCAACTCATGCCATTTTATGATTCTATAAAGTTTCTTAGTTTGTCATGATGAATCTCACAACAGTTTTCAAAACTGTATCTCAACTCCTTTTTGGGGGGAACCCAATAAAGGTTATGTGAAAGACAAGAGGGTGAAATAATTGTGGTATCTACAAAGATCAATAATTCTGTCAGCACACAGAAACCCTTACATTTGAACAGCTTTGTATGAAAGCATGTATATATTCACAAAGAGAATTAAGACTTACTAATCTAAAAGCAAGAGTTTAATTTAGCTCAGTTTGACTATTTGAATTGAAAGCCTTTGAAGAGGGAAATATCTACATACCCATTTCTGATCCAGGGTGCATTTCAGATTAAGGATGGAGTGACCTTACATGACACATGTTTCAATCAGAAAGTACTGTTGTGAGGTTCAGACATAATACTGCATCATCTATGACCTTCAACTTCAGATGGAGGAAAAAAATGGAACTCTCAGACAGTGAAGAGTAACATTTTCCAAGGCTGACTACTGGATTCAATACTAAATGTCTCTGAGCTCCTTTGCCACAACATTCAGCAGACAATCTGCAAGCTCTGTGTCACATTACAGCCTGCCTGAGTTTTGAGCATTATACGACCACATGAAAAAAACAAATACCTTAACAATCCCCTTCCTATTCAGAAACAAAGCTTGTTTCTCCTTTGCCCATTTAGTATGTATATTAATTAGGAATGAGGACCTTGCAAAACCTTTTATTCCTGGCTGCTGCAGACATAAGGAAACAAGAAGTACATTCTTCTCATAAGAATAATACATATTGTGTATATTTCCATCCAGCTGTAGGAACTTATCGAAGTTACATTTATGGAGACAAGAAATATTTTTTTGTACTACTAAGCACAGCACTCTGACTTGTTGACTAACATCTGTAATGATGTCACTGCTTTGCCATAGATAAAGATGGATCTGAATAGTATTTTTTCAGCTTCAGCTGCCTCAAATTATTGAACCTCAAAACCACCTTGTGCTTCCAAAATGAATGGTCAATGAAATACTGAGAATAAGCATACAAAGAAAATTGGGGAACTATATAAAATATTAGGAGGTGGAGATAGCTGGCTTGAGACTGGCATAAGGACAGTGAGTCCACAAAAGCTGGACTTGATTAAAAGATTATGCTGATTTTTATTATGGTATTCTATTCTGGTCAGGAACAAAAAAAGAACCTGCAGAATGCAAAAAAACCCTGCAAAACTGCAGAAAAAAGGCTGCAGAATGTTACAACAACCACCATGACACAGACATCTGTCTGACTTACTCACTTTTCAGTCTGGGGAACAAGCTGCCTGCATGTATCCAATGGCAAGAAAAATAAGAGAAATTTCCCAAGGCTTATTCATGAGATCAATAATGACACAGCTAGGTCAGGCTACCAGATCTGGCCATGTATAGTTTAACCACGACTGGTGCAAGGGTAAGGGATTCAAGGACACAGGTCAGGAATATGCCTAACTGAATTTTCTGACTGGACAGAGAATATAAAGCCTGGAGAAAAGCAAACGAGATGCATTCCACACAAAGTTAATGGCAAAGAGAAATAGATTTCACACAATAGCAAAAGATTAGAAAGTCTTAGGACTTAAGTTTATCATTGCAGTAAGAGAGGCTTTGCAGAGGAACAGAGGCAAAGGCTCACAGAAAATTAAAAGGAAGATTGCTATAATTTTGGAGAAAAGAGGCTAAAAGATTCAGTAAAGCTGTAACAAATGCCAAAAAAAGAAAAAAAAAAAAAAAAAGATGTAAGAATGCCACAAAACAACCCTCAGGAAAGAAGCATTCACATGAAACCGCAGTTGTGACTTAAGTGGTGTCTAAATTCTAGAACAGGAATAAGCTCTGAGAATTAATGAAGGAATAAGGAAAGGCACTTTAAGAAGGAGTAAAGGGAAAGCATCAAGTTGCTTCTCTCCTGGGAGCTACCAACAACAGACCACACATAAAGGAGAATGGAGCTCTTTCTGAGCACCTGTACAAGATGCCAGTAACCACTGAGGGACTTCACCCTCCCATCTGCTAGGAACACAGCGATGTCCTACAACCAAAAGAAACTGTTCTTCACAGGTCTAGAGGAAGCTATTAGGAGAACATACTTTAGAAGGCATTTCCCAGTTTTTGACTAAGGGGAGAAACTCACTGAAATTGTACTGAGATTCTGAAGATGAAAAATAATAAGTTAAAGTGACCACAAAATCCACATTCTACAGGAAGATTCTAATAGTGAAACTTTCTGCTAGAGCTCATTAATTTTTACACACAGAAAAACCATTGATATCTTTCTTGCTGCACAAACAGAGCTGTATCCAATGCATGACCAAAACACCAGCATTTCTTGTATCCTGGTGGATTCACATCCAGGAAAATAATAAGAGCTGTACTCTGATCAGCTGAGAGATATACATCAACTAGTTATGACAAAAAATGTATGCATTCATTGTATGATTACACAGGTCCATTTCAGTTCATGCCATGTGACGTGAAGGTAACCACAAAACTTACAGAATATATACTGTGAAACTCAAAGGAATAGAAATGGAACTGCCATGAGAAAATGGGCAATGAGTACTGTTCCGCCATACTGCAGCCCACTTCCAGTTTTTGTCTAAAAATCCATGACAGGGGATATCAAGGATTAGGACATGAAGAATTGCTCTGCTGAGCTGGATTTGGCACACTGTCCAGTTTCTCATCACCTAAGGAAAACAGAATGTGAGGAATGGAATAAACTAACAGAACTTATGTTTTCATGGTAAATAACCCTACGGAACAGACAGGTGTGACTCTTGGGCATCTTGAGAGATGATAGAAACCAGAGCTGGAAGTCATGAGAAGGGACTATACTCAATGCACGATAGCAGTTCAGAGGTAAGAGTGTGTAAGACTGAATTTAATCTTGCAGGAAGGCAGGAGGTGAAGAATTTAAAAGATAAAGATAAGATAAAGATTTTCAAGCCAGCAGACACTTGTGAAATCCAGCCTTGATGCCTGACAGAAGCAATGTCTTCAGAATGCAGAAGGGACATGTACACATCTTAGAAGAGGAAAAGAGGAGAACTGAGAGAAGCAAAAACTTGTTAGCTTAACTGCAGTCTCTGGAAAGATTTACAGCAAGTTGTTGAGCAATCAACTTGTAAACAGATGGGAAGCTGATAAGTACTAGCTAATCTGGGTTGTTCAGGAACGGAATGCAAGAAAATCCATCTTTTACAAAACGACTGCCTTTGTGGATACAAGAAACAGCAGGAGTGATAGAAATTTGACGTTTGGCCTTGGATAAGCCAAAGAAAACACGACAGAGCTACACCAGCTAGAAGGGGACAGCTGTGAAGAACCGCTCTGAGAAGCGTAATCCCTTAAGGAGAAAAACGAACAAACGGAAAACCTGAACGAGTTGTTGATGTGATCAAGTGCGTTGTGCACGGCTCTCGGGACAGCGGTGTAACGCGGAGCCCGGGGACAGCCGCGGCGAGCGGCCCGCGCCGGCCGGGCGGACACTTACGCTGCGGCAGCTCGGGCGCGGAGCGGCGGCTGCGGGGCGGCCGTCCGCCTCAGGTGAGCGCATCGCAGCGCGGGGCGCACGGCGGGCTGTAACGACAGCGCCGCCCGTGACGAAAGCGGCGACTCTAAAGCCCCTCGCTTCCAAACCTCCGCCCCGGCCGCCTCCACACCAGGGCGTCCCGGGCCGCGGCAGGCAGGCCCGGACGCCGGGCCGACCCTAAGCCCCCGCACCGGCTCCGGGGAGCCCGTCACCGCCAGGCCCGCGGGAGCCCGCCCAGACGCGTGGGTAGAGAGGAGCCCCACCGGGGCGGCGGTGGAAACGGCCAGCCCGAGGAGACGTCCGGCGGGGTCGCGGCCCACTCCCGCGTCGGCCCCGCTCACCTCCTCCGGCGCGTCGGAGGACCGGCGCCTCCGCTCCGGCTCCTCAGCCTCCAGCCCCGCAGTGCCGGGCGGGCGGGAAGGCGGCGCCTCCCCGCGCTGCATCCCGCCCCCTGCGGCCGCTGCCTCGCTACGGCCGGGCGGGCAGGGAACGGCGGCGCTTCGTGCGCGGGGCCGGGGACGGCCAGGGGGCGCGAGATGCCCGCGTCTGTCCCCGCCGGTGGGGGAAGGCGCTCCCCGAGCTGGCCGTGTGACCGCCGTGGCGTAGCGGCGAGGTGACGGACGCGATGGGCTGCGTAAACGCGAGGCCCGGGTTTGTTAGCTGAGGAAATTTCCAGTTGAGGGCAAATGCAGCTTTACTCTGAACTGCTGTACGTTGTTGTCTAGGCAAAAGGCCGGCACGTGCACAGACGCAGTCATCCCCCTTCTGCCGTCCTGTGTGCGGGCGCTGCCTGACCGTGTAGTCGTGATGGGACATACAAACCGTTCAAACATTTGTTTCAATAAATGGTCGCTAACAAACACGCTGCTGAATTGGAAATGGGCAGAGGAACCTTTTAATTGTAGTTCAGAAGCCACTCTCCTCCACAGACATTTTATGTTTCCCTGACACTGAAAATGTGTATTTTTGAAGTGTTTCTTATTCTGGTAAAAACACGCACAGAAAACCTATTGCCTGGTTTTCCAAACAGTAATTTCAGCTCCCAGGCTGAGGACTGGTTCCATACTCCGTGGAAATCAATGGAAAGGTGAAATCCACTGACAGATCTCTCAGAAATAAGCTGGACTCTTCCATGGTAAGAAATTGCTTCTCATCCTTCTGCGTGTTAATATTCCCTTTTCCTTTGTTAGCGATTCAGAAGCTGTCATCCTAGGGTTGATTTTCCATAGCCTACAAGAACGTCAGGACTCTGGGATTAAAAGTTTTAGTCCAACCAACAAATATATCAAAAGAAAAAAGAACAGAATATTGCTTTCTGCTTTACTTGTGGCTGCTTCTCCTTATATGCTGCTTGATGTGATAGTTGAAGACACTGAAGTATTTACTTCAAAATAGGCATATTCAGTTATGAGAGAAATTCATGCACCTTAAGATGATGCATTGCATTTAATGAAATTGTCAGAATCCTGCAATATTCCTTTATTTGAATTTTAATCTTGGTGAGAAGGCTGTAATTTTGAATGTTCGTGGTAATGTTTTTCTTTTTTCTTTTTTTTTCTTTTTTTTTTCTTTTTTTTTTTTTATTTATGACTACAGCAAAATGTCTTGAACATAACACTCACTCCTCTAGGAGATGATCCATTATAAGATCTGTATTAATTTTGTATCAGGGAGGTGTTTTTCTTCCTACACAGACAGAATGGAAAATGGTCCCTGGTTCTCTTGACCAGCTGCCATCTCAGACTCTGACCCTTCATGCCTAACTTCTGTTCTTAATAAGGTCATTCAGTGTCATCTCACACCAACACTTCATTTCTTTTGTAGCTATTTCTATGTGTTGCTAGAATTAGTGAGTTACATTCAAAATCAGTGTTAGTCATAAAATTGTGAGTTAAATTGTTACATTATGAAGATGCCTGTCAACAACCTAATGTTGATAGGCATCTCTACTTTCTTTTTCTTGTGTTTTAAGAATCATATAGGATGTGAGGGAATGACTTGAAGCCGCATCATGGGAAGTTCAGATTGGATACTAGGGAAAAGTTCTTTACTGAAAGGGAGCTTCCCAGAGAAATAGTCGTAGTCCCAAGCTTGTCCATGTTCAAGAAGCATTTGGACAATGCTCTTAGGTGTGTGGACAATGATCTTCAGCATTTGGTTTAACTCTTAGGTTGTCTCAAGAGACAACAGTTGGACTGGATGATTCTCATGGGTCCCTTCCAACTCAGGAGATTCTTTGATTCTGTGACAAAGAAAACGAGAGTGGTCCTTGGCAATTGCACCACTGTACTTTTCTCCATTTTGTGTTGTGTTTTTAATGTGATCCTTTTGCTGCCTGTGTGCAAACCTATCTGGCTTTAGCTTTTGTGCACAGTGACAAGCAAGAAAACTTCTTGAGTTGTGGTCATTTACCAGCCTATTTAAACAGATAGCACTAAGTTTGTATGTGTACATTTAAACATTAAGACAATTTGGAGAGCTTCAGTTGATCCTATGTTTTATGTTTCTGAGATTTTACTGTTTGAATATTCATGTTTAAAACTGGAATCAAAATAGCTATGGCCTCCCTTCCTGATACATTCAAACAGGTTTTCCATGAGGGAAAGATATTTATATACCTTCCATACATGTAAAACTCATTACAAAATTGGACCATGTCTATTCAGTGAAATTATGAAATTGGATTAGATAGCTCTCTTGGATTATATACAAAGATCTACAGACAATATAATTTACAGACGTCTTGCTAAAGAACTGCCTTTAATCTATTTAAAAAAATAGGAGATTATGGTTTTTTTAGCAGGTGTTTTGCTTTCTTTAGGAGAGTCCAGGGAAGCATTATTATTTCTTCCCTTAAAGGATGGAACATAACAAAGGAGTTTCCAGTTTGCAAATGGAGACAGATATTCTGGTTCTTCCTCTTGGCAAAGGGAAAACAAAGCCCCAGGGTTTTCCCCATGGAAAACAAGTGAAAATAAACACACAAAAATTTGCTTCCTATCAGGGCAACAAACCCAAACCCAAATCTGGCATACTAGCCAGAACACAGCCAGTTTTGTACCTTAGCAGAAAAATGCAGTATTTTCCAGATGGGAACATTCAGGCCAACTAATTTTTTTTTTTTTTCTTAGGGTTGCCAGCAATTATTTTCAGAATAAAACTTGTACCTCTTAAACATTCTTTATAAAAACAAAATTGATCTGAGAAACTTAGAAAATTGAAACTTGTGGGTTTTTTTCTTGATTTTTGGGTTTTGTTTTTTTTTTTTTTGGAGAGATGCATTTTTTTGTGTTCTGTTTTTTTAATTAATTTGATGATGTTTTTTACAAAAGTACTATTTTCAAAAAGTTCTAAACATTAGCTAAACAAAGAACAAGAAATAGTTGTTATTGCCTCGACTGAAATATTGTCCCCTTGCTCTCTGTATTTCATCAGTTTGTGATGTCCCCTGTGACCCAGCACTCCAGGTGTCACTGCACCTCTCAGCCACATGGATTCTCAAATACCTCAGGCAAGGAAAGAAAGACAAACTGAAATAAATAAACAAAGACATCTAGATATTTTTTTGAGGAAGGGAGAAGGAGAAAAAAGAATGAAAGAAAAATGAAAAAGAAAAAAAAAAAAAGAAGAAAGATAGAAAGAAGGAAAGAAAGAAGGAATGAAAAAGAAATCCCATTTAGTAAGCCAGAGTTGAGAATACTTAGTAGGTCATGTGAAACAAGACAGAGTGTATCCTTCTTCCCAGCAGGAAGTACAAATTAAGGCTGATTCATTCAAAACAGGGGACAGATACCCCACCCACCCTGAAAAAAGCCCAAACAACCAAAGCAACTACAAAAAAACCAACCCCAAACCAAACCAACAAAAGCCAGAAAAGATCCAGGGTTATTATTTCATTTTTAAGGCAATGCAAATAGCAGTGAGTATTGTTTCTGCTTTTATTATCTGGTAGATAGATTTTATATACCAAAAACAATCTGAAGGAAGGAAACCTCTGACTGTGGTTTTCCATAGTCATTGTTGAGGCACAACTAAGAATCTTTGTTCCGTGGCCTTGTGTAGAGCACAAGACCTTTCCACTATTCCCTATAAATTTTGAAACACCGTTTGCTTTGTGTTGCAAGTTATAGAAGGTCAAACAACTTCTTCCTGGTTCATGGCTTCTCATCTTAAAAGGCATCTTTGGAGTGAGACTGCAGGTCCTAAAAATGTCATCTTGTGCCTGCAACAACTGTTGGACCCAAAGCTGAGGGAAAAACAGCATTGTTTTTAGAATACAATCAATCATATCCAGAGCAAATATTTTTGTCAGCTGACTTGATAACCAAGAACAGAGGTGTGCCCTTCTTTGTGAAACATGGATATTGAAAAAAATATTGCAAGAGTCATTTAAAAGATTTTAATACTTGCTTGAATACCAAAGCATCTGATTGAAGCACAGGCTATGTTGTAGCTTGACCACCGTTTGAGCGTGGACTAGCATGTTTATGTTAAGAACAGTTTAAGACTTCAGCTCTTGAGGTCAAATTTCCTTCACAAATTTGCAGACCAGAGGTTTTGCATGAGAGCAGTAGAAAAATTAAAAACAATATCACACTGTATAGTATGTAGCATAATAAATGTGAAATAATTTTTATTGGATATTTAAGAAAAGGAAGGAAGGGGCAGAATAGGAAGGATCAAGGTGGATCAATGAGGAACATGAACAAGAGAATGAGGAAAAGTGTATTAAATGAGCTTGTCAAGTGTTGTGCTATATACTACATGTCACAGTCTTGACATTTTTTAGAGGCTGTTTTGTTGAGTGGTCCACAGCAGAATAGAGTCCATCCCAGACTGGAGAGAGTGAGCAGCTTTTTTTGTGATTCTATCAAAAAAGCAGACCCTATTTATTTATGTATCTGCAAAGGAAAAACCCTGATTCTGAATAGCTAAGTAAGAGTCCCAATCTGGGAATTTTGCCTATAAATGATGAGGATTAAATATGTGCAGTAGAATAGAGACATCAAAACAAGGGTAAAACCTGAAGTTATTAGCTATTACTTTTCTAAATGTAGCCTAATGCACCATCTAGTTCCCTGGTTTCAGTTGGTTCCTTATTTTGTGTAGGCAGTGCTTAAGAGTGGTTTAGCTTGGTTGTGTCTTAAATAAATGCTCTCCTTCATTTAACACAGTACTCTGTACAGTTTACCAGGAAGCAAAGTAGCAATGTCTGTTCCAATATAAGCACAATTTATTTGAAAATAAAACAGTTTATATTTAAACTTTTACAAAAAGTGAAGCAAAAACCATAGCTTGTGTCCCTCCAGTTTCAGAAACAGTTATGTGCTGCATCCAAAATAAAATTGTAGGGCTACATCTCAGAGGATAATTCCTCCAAATTACTTATAACCTTGCTGATGTTCATA